AATGCAATCAGGGTCAATCATTCACCTCAGACTCACTTTAGTTCTACTTTAAAAAGGTTCAAAAAGCAGATATAAACTGCAAAAAGTTCGAGTATAAAAGTAGTCTACTTTTAAGAAATAAAATGCCCTATATATATATATACGTCTATATCTCGTGGAGCAATCTGTCCTTTTCTAACATTTTTCTTCAAACGAAGAAACATGCTTCCTATAACGTATCTATATATATATAGAGAGAGAAAAAAATGACCAAGTGCACTGTCTTTTTTACAGACAGTAGGCACCAATATCTGATGGGGTATCGTCCCGATTCGTCGACAAATCGGACACTTCAAAGAATATACATCAAAGAATTTCAAAGGCGGTGTGAGAGTGAGTGTCGACGAATCGGGACTGAATCTCTGATGGCAATAGGGACTTTAGTGCTGTTTTAGTTAAAGGTCTAATAGACCTTTGTGCCACTATAATAGTGGCACAAAGATGTAGGAATGTGTCACGTCTATGACGCTGGAGTTGCTCATATCTTTATATCTTTTTTGTGCAAACAGTAATCTTTCTATCTCCAATTTCTTTCCTATAATGTTTTCTAGAAGTTATATTCATAATATAAATGGTATTAGAGCAATATTGAATCGATTAGGTTTATTTAATCTAGTTCTCGATTATGAACATATAGCTATTGGCGAAGAATTAATTAAGTTTTAGCAGCATTTGAGACTGCGACAACGGTACTACAAGCATCAAAATCCTACCCAACAGTGCATTTGGTTTTGTTATTTCGAAAAAGTATACAAGAAGCATTGGTTATTCAATTAAACGATCGAGAAGCAATTGTTAATTTAAAAACAACATCCGATAGTGTAACATTGTGACTAGCGAAAATGAGACTTACTTAGATAAGGGAACAGAGAGCTGAATTTGCTGTGTACACCTGAATTTACTACCTGCCTGTTTATTCATACTGATTTTTTCAAAAAATAAAATTTTTTGTGTATGGGACTCTCGCGGGACTTTTTGTGGAGTCCCGTAGGACTCCCTATGGATTTTTTGAGAAGAAAATTCCGGAGGGAGTCCCGCGGGACTCTCGACTAGGGTAATGACTTCTTTGATTTCTTTAATTTGTTTATCAAGACCGCCCACCATTTCATATGTTGAATCGGGCACTTTTTCAATCATCATTAATGAGACTAGTGGATCAACCTAAAATAAATCAATAAAATTTTAGCCTTTCTTTTTTTAATTTCTTCTCTCAATTATGTGTTCACCTTATTTGGAAGTATTTTATGTAATGTATAACTATCATTTTTTAGTGCCACTCGAGAACTGGGTGTAACTTTAGCCATATCAATATTTTTATCAATATCAACAATAAATTTTCCTTCAGGATGAACCTAATAACATAATTGTTTAATAAATAAATAATTAATTATTCATATAAAAGACTAAACAATGTTTTTTACTTTAACAAGAACTTATTTTTTATCTATGGCTTTAACAACTTCACCAACGAGTGAACCTTGCTCTTGAAGAGACGATATGAAAATATTGATGTTATGCTAGTCGATACGCAACAGCAACACCTGCAATATAAAATGTATCTACGTGCTGAAGAGCGTTGGTGACACAATAGATAAAACCGCTGTTTAGGATGAACAGAATCGAGGTTCGAATCCTCGTCAGCGCGTAAATGTTTTTTAAAAGTCCCCGACTTTAATTTCCGGAAGTACCCCGGGCTAAAAATCATGGAACCATAGGCAATCGATCATGCTGATTCCGAATATCACCTTCCCCCGGACTCTAATTGCATTTGAAAATTTCGCAGTCCGGTGATATGTTCTTTGATTTATTGCAATTGTTTCGATCTTCCATTTTCAATTGACGATCGTCACAGTGCTATTCCAGTTCAAAATGAGATTTATGTTTTGTCACCACAAACAACTACTTACACAAGAAAAAACAAATCAACTCAAACGCAAAAAGTAAGTGCAGAAAAAATATTTTTTGATCCCGAACCGGTACCAATTTCACCACAAATCGTAGATGATTTGACAACATTAGCAGCATTCTTTTACTCTATTATATTATTTGGCATAGTATTTACGTGTTTAACATGTTGTACGCATTTTGATGCACCATGTTCATCATTTTTCTTAACAATTGTTCAAACGTTTACTGGACTACCAGTTTTTACCTCTAAGATCTGAAAATAGCATCTGTTTATTGATTTTCAATTTCTGCGACAGACAATGGTGTCTTCAGCAAGAATAGGATGATTTTTGCAGCGGTTATGAATTTCATATTCTTTATTTATTATAATATTTCGACCTTCAAGGCCATCTTCAGATGTAAAATTAGAACAAAAGTGAGACAACTTGACATTTCCAAACGACATTACGTCCATTACTAGACATTATTATCAAATGGATGGAAAAAAGACTAAAACATGACTGTTGATGGTGGAATAAGTCTCTTACGAGCAGTTTCTTTCTTGAGTACTGTTCTCTGAAGACTGTCAGGAAAGGCATAAACAGGTACTGATCTATCCGTTCCATTTAGTAGATGTGTTATTGCTTTGATGAGCAAAGACTCCATAACTAGCAGCCATTATCGATGTTGTTCACTTGTGAGAATTTGAAAGTCCTCTAAATAAAGAATATGTCTAGTTGGAACGCGCTGTTTAGCAATCGCTGATTTTGCAACAAGTGCTTCAAAAATTTTTTCAACTCGGTAGCTTGAGATAGTACCAACACCATCGATAATGGCTGCTAGTTATGGAGTCTTTGCTCATCAAAGTAATAACACATGGGAACGGATAGATCGGTACCTGTTTATGTCTTTCCTGACAGTCTTCAGAGAACAGTACTCAAGAAAGAAACTGCTCGTAAGAGACTTATTCCACCATCAACAGTCACGTTTTCGTCTTTTTTCCATCTATTTGATAGTAATGTCTAGTCTTGCTTCATATGCGCATATGAAAAAAGAATATAACTCGTTCTTTCTTTTAACCTACGCATTTCTCTGTATGATTCATGTAATGGACGTAATGTCGTTTGGAAATGTCAAGTTGTCTCACTTTTGTTCTAATTTTACATCTGAAGATGGCCTTGAAGGTCGAAATATTATAATAAATAAAGAATATGAAATTCATAACCGCTGCAAAAATCATCCTATTCTTGCTCAAGACACTATTGTCTGTCGCAGAAATTGAAAATCAATAAACAGATGCTGTTTTCAGATCTTAGAGGTAAAAACTGCTCCTCTATTCGAATACGATTGACGTTTATAAATTCATAATGATCGATATTTTTCTTATAAAACTCGTACATTCAAATTTAACAAAAATTTTACGGATTGTCGAGCACGTAATTAGACATTTTGTAAGAATTTAAGCATTTATCTTTTAAACTGATTGAGAACTTACAGTCAGAAGCGAAAAAACGTGACTCTGTTACGATGATTTTGATCGGTATCTCCATTTGTCGCAAATAGAAACCAATTTTGGTTTCTCGGGATTTAAACACCCTTTTTTTGGTTTTGGAGGATACCTTCTTTTTTAGAGTAGTCTCTCACCTCTTTAAACCTATTTCGATCATGATTAGTAGAGGCTCTTATGTACTGTTTTTCTTATGTTTTTTTTATATTCAGTAAAAGATAAAATAAATGAATATTTTATTTTATATTTCTAAAATTCTATATGTGCGTAGATTTTTCTTTTAATTTTGTAAAAAAAATGTAAAATATTTCCGAGTTTGAAACTAAAATGTACGTAATCTACTAATAATACTCTTCGTGAAGCGAAAACAGTTGGATGAGTAGACGACTGTAAACGTTATTTTCATCTTTAGCAATTCTATGTCATCTATGATCTAAGTAGCTGTACTATAAAAAATTTTCCATTTTAATTTTGAAAAAAGGAATCTTTTATCCAAAACTTAATATGATTGACGTTTATAAATTCGTATGTAAGAGATTTTATTTTTTTCGGCTTGTAGGCGATGGTTTTGGAGAGAAAATATTTATTACCAAAGAGCGACCAGCACTCGGACTCTCTTCTGCGGCGTCTTCAACGATGTCATTATCATCTTCATTAGTTTCTGTTAGAATTTCATCAATTTTATCAATACAATCCTTCTCGTCTTTTCTAGTCGCTTGCGCTCGTGTAACGTTACTGTTTGATGTTTTCTTATTCAATTGTTCAGTTGATTTCTTCACCGTTTTTAATGGACGACGTGCCAAAAGTTGTTCTAAAGTTAAGAATTATGCAAAAAATCGAGTTAGTCGAAGAATTTTTCGAGATGCCTACTTTTCTATTCAATGGAGAGTGTAACGAGTTACATCCGAAATTTTTACTTTCTCTAAAGTGTAGTGCGTCTAGAAACAGGATAACACTAATTGTGTACTCCAAAAAATATTCTACCGCAGAATGGTTTAATATTTCGCATAAGAACTTTTGAAAAAGATACGAATCGATTTCTGTAGTTCAGCAATATAAAAATTTTTGAGGTACGTTAGAAAATGAGTAAGTTTAATTATTTTTACTGTCGGTTGTAGGTGGTCGTATTGAACGTAGACTTTTTCTCGGTACGGGACTGATTATGTTAATAACTCTCGGCTCTTCTTCTTCTGAAATCAGAATTTTTATTATTATTATGAATAATATCAATAAATGTCAACTTACTAGCGTCGGAAACTTCTAATTCTGTATTAAAACAACTTGTACAATATTTCTCACATATATTTTTTCGTACAAATGACCAAAGAAACCTCGCTCCTCTCCCAATACTATGTGTTATCCATTTATTAAATTGATGAACTTTTTGGAATGTAGCTGTTTTCTCAAGGTATTTAAAACAACTTCCAACAAGTAAAACTGAGCGTAGTACAGGTTCTGGTAGTCCCGTAAACGTTTGAACAATTGTTAAGAAAAATGATGAACATGGTGCATCAAAATGCGTACAACATGTTAAACACGTAAATACTATGCCAAATAATATAATAGAGTAAAAGAATGCTGCTAATGTTGTCAAATCATCTACGATTTGTGGTGAAATTGGTACCGGTTCGGGATCAAAAAATATTTTTTCTGCACTTACTTTTTGCGTTTGAGTTGATTTGTTTTTTCTTGTGTAAGTAGTTGTTTGTGGTGACAAAACATAAATCTCATTTTGAACTGGAATAGCACTGTGACGATCGCCAATTGAAAATGGAAGATCGAAATAATTGTTCGAATCGCCGCCAAGACCTAAATCTGGCTCATTAAGATCTTTAACGTTCTCCATGTCAATGGGTACTGTTTCTGGCACTGCATCTTGACGTTGTTTTAGAGCAGATTTTATTGTTGTTGATTGCGAAATAAAAGGCTGCTTGTTATTTTTTATCTGTCCACGTTTTACTCTATTTAATAAATTGGCATTTAGAATCTGCTTTTGTGAATAGTATTTTGTTGTAATAGGATTTCTACTAAAAGACGGTTCAAATTGATAAGCATAAATTTTGCTGTATAAATAAGCGACAAAGAATAGTAGGCTGATGAACCATTCGACGTTCATACATCTACATGTACTGCTGGATAAAATGTTCTTTGCAATTCGTTTCTTCAACCCAAAATAATAAAAAAGTAACGAACAAATTATAGAGAAAAATTTACATAATTGAAAGCTTCAAGTTTTTCTAATATAAAGACAAACACAATGACATTAAGCGCGCAAGGCATATTATCTAAATAATAGTGGGAAGAAAATGTCAGAACGATCTCTATTCGATGTTTTAAATCTGTTTTACATGAACTACTATTAATAGCATACTAGAGAGTTGAAGTTGAAGCCATATTTTATCCGGGAAAAGTTGTTTAATGTTTGCGCATCTGCTTTATAAGAATACTTACTGCTAAGAAAAAGAACTTTTTCAGAAAAAATACGATTTAAAGGAATGGTAATATTTCTTAATAATTGATTTTACAACTTTTCAAATATGTTCGACGCAGCGGAGCTGTGACTATTTGTAATTGGTTGTTGAAGAAGCTTTGACAGTAAAGATGACTACATAGAAGTCAAATAAATTAAATGCAGTTTCACGAAACAAATGTTGTGAACAGATCCGAGATGTCTCATTTTGTTCAGAAACGCGTGCTTTATACGATGGTGTTGTTTGCACAAAGTTTTCCAATCATATTCGGGAATCAAGTTATAATAATTCTGATGGACTTTTTGTACGCACTACACCAGATTGGAGACTCTTTCAGTTATTCAACTGTTTTTAGGATTTATTCTAGTTATTATAATCTAGGAAAAAAATTGAAAACTACGGTGCATAATCAATTTTTCAGCCCCATTGTATGTTTCGGAAAGGAAAAATTTTTCTAAGTCATTTTAAGTATGAAAATTTTTACACTTGTATATACCCAAGGGTGTGAAACAAGACGGTGATTCAAGAATTATCAAGATGTTGGTTACAAAAAGTTTCATCACGGCAGGCTACACACTATGACCCTTATGCCTACAGATATTTTCAGATTTTCTGATAATTGATGCAGTAACAATAGAAAATATGTTGTCTGTACAGTATTTTGAAGTTTTGGTGTCATTTATGTTTTTTATCTCCTTTATAGTTTCAAAATTGTGTTCTAGAATTTGTTTTCAGATTTAAACGAGCACACTGATTTCATCATTTATTTTAATGGTGCTAATACTGAAAAAAAACTTTAATGTTGACAATTACAATATTTCAAATATTAACCATTGGTTTGAATATCGTCTTTTCACATAAACACCATATGACAGCGATAATCTCTAAATCTTTAGTGGCGGCAATAAAAAAGTAAAGTCGAAATTCTATTGTTTTGATATTGATATTCGTACATAGGATTCAGATGAAATATATGGTACATCTCCAGAACAACGACATACATACTACATGTTAGTTATGAATCAAGACAATCAAACGTTTTTCAAAACATTACACTCGATTGATTTAGAACAGCAGATGGCATATTGAACTGAATATGAAACATCCAGTTGGCTTATGATATAGAAAAGTAGCCTAGTCAAAGAGAATTATGTTGTTCAAATGATTCATTGTTTCTTCTAGGCTTGGTTTCACTTTTTTCTTGTTTGATACAAATAGATAAAAACCGATTAGAACAACAATCGCTAGGGAACAATGAAGAGATATCGTCTGGTGATAGTACAGAAAAACTTTATAGCAATTATGTTTATTCATAATGGAACAGATACAGAGACTAAGAAATTTGACAATTGTTCTTTACTGAGAATTAATGAAAAATAAGTTACAGATTTTTTTTTCTTTTCTTTTTTTGTTATCCTCAGGTGTGAAATAAGTAAAGTATTTTATTTTATATATCTGCATAAATCACAGCATATTAATTCTTCTCTCGACACATACAATAACATTAAATGTTGCTACAATTCTCATAGCTCAATTATTTTTTAGATATAGTTTTATTTGCCTTTCTCTATCGCCATTCATATTTTTCGGACGTAAATGCATAAAAATATAAATTATACAACATCAAAATAAAAAACAAAAATTAACAGACAGATAATTAAAAACAAACAAACACACACACACACACAACCACAAACCGACATGTACAAACACATTTTAGGTAAAAAATAGCATACGCCAAATCAGTATTACACTTTTGTTGAAAAAATATATTTGTTAAAGTGTTCTTGAAGCGGATTTAAAAATGTGCCATTTTTAACCTTTCCACATGGAACAACAGATTTTAAACAACGTATTTTTGAATGATATGAACGAAATAGGAACGAAATTATTGCAATAAACAAGACACGTCTGAAAAAAGAAAAAAGAAGAAGAAAAATTAGCACCATTGATTGACTGGGAAACGAAAGATAGTTGTGGATGATCGATCTCTATGTTTGCCTTGTATTTTTACTGTTGTTGTTGTGAAAACACCGGTTAGAGAATAATAAATAGTAAAAAACGTGAACCAATTTTTTATGATGTTCTTAAGTTGAACAATAAATAAATAATAATAGTAATAATAATACGATTTCATCGACTTACATCATCTTCTGCATTTTCGAACTAGAGATGATGTAAAGAAAATCACCGAGTTGGAATAGAAATAATAATAAAAAAATAATAAAATGAAAATATTGCGTTGTTTGACACACGATATAGACAACATTTACAAACAGAGATACGAGAAGAAAGATAAACAGTGAATATACAACTAATCAATTAGTGGCTAAAATAGAAAGTAACAAATAAAGTCATTTATTTCAAGAATTAATCAATATAGAGTTTTTCAATAAATCTGTACAAATTCTAATTCTCAACTACCATCATTATTTTTCTAATTTATAGTCATGATAGAAAACGGAAAAAGTATGAAACGAGAACAGAATATGAATTATTTCATTTTTCATAAAACGAGACGAAAAAGAGAACGGTTTTGAGAATAGACTGTTTTCATTTTATGTACATAGTTCTAAAATAAAATATTTAATATGCACACTTCTTCATACTTACAAGAAGTCTAAAATTCAAAATCATAGGAAATAAACTAGATAAGTTTGCAAAATTGTTTACCACTTTAGATCTTCGACTTCAGCCTCGATCAAGCAGCATTCTCATACTCAGTTTTTTAATACTAAATCTGAAAAAAATACTTTTAAACAATTAGACGTACGAAAAAGAAAAAAATTTGAATTTTTTTGAAACTGAAGAGGTTTTCGAAACTTTAGAACTTTCGAATTTTTTCAATTTTTCTTTACTAAAAAAATTAAAAACCATTTTTTCTTACTATCCAACCATGTGCAAATAAATGAAAAAAAGAATTTCCTATGATTTTGAATTTCAGGCACCTTACATCAATAGGTAAATAGCAAAACAATTATATTCTCAATACAATAAGGCGCAGACAATGGCTATCGTTGCAAATTTTCAATAGAAAAGCTGACGAACTTAGAGATTTTATACCGGAAAATGAAGCATCTAAATTTCGAAGTGTATCAAGTGCAAATGGAAATGTGATGATATTCAACTATGGGCAAAATACGAGTTAGACCGAGTTTTTGAGTCGTTTTCTTAATAGCCTTAATTTTGCTTCTCTAAAAAAATCTTTGTTCACAGAAAACTCTTGTTTTGAAAAAACTTACTTTCGAGCTTTTAGTGGTGTTTGTTTACAATAAATCTGTGATGTCAAAAAGATCAAATATACGAAACAGTTTCGCTTTGTTTTCTTTGTGCGCGATCATTGTCCAAAGACACAGATTCAAGTTGTTTTTCGGGCGTCGGTGAATGATCATCATTATTCATCTAAATCAGAAAGTATAATCATTAAAAATGAATAAATTTAAATTAAACGTGTAAATGTTACCACTATTGATGGACTATGTCGTTGAAGTGGCTGTTGTTTTAAGGTTTTTAATACTCCAGTTTCATCAAATCGTATATCTTCATCATTATCCGGTATCATTTCAAATATATCATTTGTGGATTTTAAACGTGTACGGGCAGACATGTCTAGAATGTACATTGAAAAATGTTAGAAAAAAAATTTGATATCTTCTCACGAGAATAATACTTACCCACACCGGATGCTGTTTTAGTTAATGTATAAATTCGTTGATTATCATAGCCAGATATATTTTCATTCAAATTTAATGGAATCAATGAGTCGTTCTAAGCAGTAACAACAATAGAATTTGTTAAATTCAACAATTTAAATAATATAATGATTACTACTTACAATATAATAAACAAATTGTGCTATAGATAATTTTAGTTTATCAAGTATTGGCTGAAGTATTTGAAGTAACGTTCGTTTTGGATCACATCGTATGCACAATGAACGTGATGGAAGATCAAGACGACATAATACACGACTTTCTACACGCACTTCTTTACCACATAATGTTGACAATGTTTCTTGAACATCCACAAGCTAAAACAAAACAAAATATTCTAGTTTAGAAAATTACAACAAAATTAGAACAAATCTTTGATAAGAATATTGCAAGACAGCAAGTATATAACATGTGTCTTTCATCCACATAATTATGTCAAATTTATCCAATACTTAGTTTTCGTTTTTTTCTTTAAAACTCGGAAATTAACATGACCAATAAGATGGAATTTTCAATATCCAAAAAAGATCGTCCTCATACCCTTTCTTTTAGTCGATCTACATTCATTCATTCAGTATTTGATCTATTAAAAAACGATGATAATCAAACAACACTTCAGCGATTTTGACGTTTAGTCTTTAACACAATTATATCATTCATTTATAGCCAATATTCACCTCAAAACTCTCCAGGATTTTTGGTTAAGAGGATATTGCAAAAATCTTCAATATTACTCTTAAAAATTTTCTTTTTTAAAGAAATGTATGTCTATGTTTTGTTAATATACTTTCATAACAAAGGATTCTAGAGAGTTCTGAGATCTACCATTTTGTTAATCACACTTCTCTTCGAAAACTTGAAACAATCGTGAGCTCCGTACATCTTTTTCGTTCGAAAGATCTAAAGATCAGAAAATAATACCAAAACGTGACCGAATCACGGTTTCCGTCGAGTTATGTGGAATGACCCTACAACAAAAATTTATTTAGCTCTTATGTGGATGAATCTTAACACCATTAATGCAGGCGACTTATACACAATCGACGCTAAACATTTACCATTAACATTGAATATAACTGAAATATGTCACGATCACATGCAATCTGATCACACATCTTCAAATACACAACTTAAGCATAGAAAAGAAAGTATATCAATCAATGTTAAATCATCAATAGTCAGCTACCAATGACACATTGTAAAGTAGAAAATTTAGTAGAATTAATCGAGTTGGAAAAAAACAGATAAACTCTGATACGTTTTTGTCGCCAAATATTTGAATATAAGTCTCGGTGCTAAGGTGCATGTCCCATATCGATTACCAAAACATGATGATTACGGTCAAATAAAAACTTACAATAACTATCGATGAACACAGTGAAATATGCGTCTAAACGAGCTAATTCCATACTTGATCAAAACACACCTGACCCACGAGATTTTTCGGTTGGATGATTTTTCTACATGACTACATTGAATTCTTGTGCGGGAAACAAAATGGATACAAAATATTATAGAAGTGAGAACACCAAATCATCAGAAACAAAATAAGAATAAAATTTATCTAGAGTGTGAAACTTTTACATTTTCAAAATCAACATATTCGATTCGACTGTGTGTTGACAAAAGATAAATGAGTCTTACCTTTATATTTAAAAAATAAAGGTTAAATAAAGATTTTATTTTTGCTGTTTTCAAGTGATTTAACATGTAGAGAAATCTTAGTTGATGCCCTCACCCTCATATCAAATTATGAGCTGATTTTCCTCTCCAATTGTCCGAATAAGTGATTTTAAGTCACGATGAATTACTCAGATCGACTAAAACTAACCTAGTTCGAAAAAAGAAGATTCAATAGAATAAACGAAGCGAGTTTCGAGTAAAAAACCATGGTTGTAGAAGGAGAGTAATCATTTATTTCATCTTTATTTCTTTATTTTTTAGAATTATGCCTATCATAGATGTAACCGGTCAACATTTTCTCGAACGGACCGGTAACCGGTCGAAAAAAAATTTCTGACCGGACCGGGCCGACCAGTTGGCCGATCATACATTTTCCTAGCGTGTAAATGTAAAAGCCTAATGATAGAGGAGTGCTAAAGCTTCTGGAAAAACATCCATAGCTCGTGAACCATGGATTTCCAAGATGTACTTTAGATCCAGTTTTATAGAGGACACTTCGGACTATATATGTATGAAAACAAATTTCTATGTCAGAACCGAATTGGTTTTCCACAGATATCCTGAAAAAACAATCTTTGAAATTTTTCCAAACTCGATTTTGCTTATGAAAACATAGCCTCAGATCTTGGCTAGCTCAGCAAATTCGTTTTTGACAAAGCACTAATTTTTCAGACAAAACAACATTTTTTTTCTCGACCGGCCGGTCAGAAACTCTTGACCGGACCGGATCGACCGGTTGCCGGTACCATCTCTGATGTCTATAATTCAGGCGTTTTCAATCAAAAACATCTTCTAAATAACGTACTTCGTCTGAATAACAACAAATACTGTGTTATTAGAACATTCCACATCTACTATATATATTTCATAAAATCAAATCTTTATTACTTTTATGTGTTTAAAAATAATTCTTTTTATCATTTATTTATATTTAGTTTTTTAAATATAAGACGAACAATAAAACTAAATTAACATCCCTACTAAAGAGTAAATATATTGTATGAATTTACAAGTACTATGTTGAAATCAAGTTGACGATTTCTATCGTACGATTCTTGTAACTTATTTGTGTTCAAATATGTTCATTGTGAAATTGACACTCATTTGACAAGATTTATTTCAAATTATTGTTTGATACGCGTCAACGTTTTAATCATGTATCAAAACACACTACATAAATGATAATTTATACTATTTTCTAAAGATTTTCTCAAATTAAATGGAAGAAAACATATTTGATAAACATGTCAACCGATTGATTAATTTTCAATGGCACAAATTTGCTGAATTCAATAAAAGACCAATTGAAATGAATTAGATCTAATATTATTGCTATGAAAAACAGATTCAACAATTAGTAAAAGAAAATTTCGTCAATTATAAATGATAGAATTATTTTTCTTCTATTTCAAAGTCAATCAATTATCTATTTTGGTATTAGATTAATTTATTGTCAATTTTTAAATGAAATAATCAACAGTTTTGATATCGTTTAAATAATGATCGATAGTCAAACATTTAGTAAATATCATTTATAAGATAAAAAAACAAAAACGTCTCATCAATAAAATAACAATATTTTATCATATCTTTAATACTGAAAATATTCGATGATTATAATCAATTGAAAGAAAAAAAAAGAGTTTTTTTGCTTTTATGTGTCATCACAACTGTACATCTACTTACTCGACATAATTCCAAGTATAATTATTATCATTTATCATCAGAATAAAAAAAGAAAAAAAAAAGAAAGAAAAACACTTACTTGATCAGAGTTTGACACATATAATTCGGTACGATACCATGTTATACCACGTTTAGCAAATAATCGATTAATTGCTTGTTGAATAGTTATATGATTACAATTAGACGATAGGATAATGGCAGATGTTGAATCAGGAAATAAAAAACGACAAAATCGAGACGAATCAACTGTAAAAGAATCCTAAAAAAAACAAAAATCAAATTAAATAAATACTTAAGTTATCATGAAATATATTATTTATTTTTACTTACCGATACACTATTTTTTTTCGTTGTATCTAAAGTTAATGTATTTGCTGATCCGCGTCTTATTAATAATTGAGATGCTGCACCAGTTAAATTAGAGGATAAGAGAGATGGGTCATGATTAATATCAGAACGTACAGATGATGATGATAAAGAAAAATCGACTATACTATTATTACTATTATTATTATTATTATTATTATTATTTATTGTTATTGCTGTTAATGATGATGCTGATGGTTTTATTTTATTATCAATTTTAAATGTCGGTGTTTGAAGACTTGTAGTTGATGTTGGTGTTTTCTCTTTTTCATTTATTGGTTCACGATCACGTTTTACTAGAACAAAAGAAGAAGAAGATATGATTAATTTAATAAAATATATTTTCAATTTTCTAATTAAATTTTTAATTTTGTTGGCTAAAAAATTTTATCTACATGCACAAATAGAAAAAAAAGATTGTTATTATATAACAATAAAAAATAATTTGTAAATGTGGAAAAAAAAACAACAATTCCTAGAATATTAACTTTTCAACTATGATTATTGAAAAATATATAATTCTGTAATAGATACATAAATATTTTAAATATTTCATTTGTTTCATAACATAAAGAACAAAATGCACATTCGAGAAAGGGATATTGACATTTGATTAACAGAGTAAAATGATTATATATAACTCAGGATATTTAGTTATATAAATGACAGGCGAATATATGTAGAAAATATTACCTGATAAAATATGAAAAGAAAATCAATCACTGTGTTTTGTAAATTCGGTGTCTTCATTGAGTGTATTATTAGCGGTAGCTGCAATTAATAAACAGGTTTTATTTTTTTTTGATTTATGTTATTGTGTATGTTTGTGTGTATGTGTATATGTGTATGTGTGTATATGTGTGTGAGTGTAAGTGCATAACTAATCACTAGATTCTAGTGTATCTGTTGCTATTTTAACTATCAACCGAAAATCAGAAATCTTTTCTTTTTTTTTTTTTTTTTTTTTTAATTTTGATTGATTTTGTTGTCATATTTGATAAAGTTCAGCAATATCAATCAGCTCATTATGTGTGTGTGTATAGTGAAAATGTGTTCTGTGATTTACTAATTTATAAATTAAACAAGTGTACAGGTGCTGTGTTAAACAACGAAATATGAGATAGTAACTTTTGCAGTTTGTCAATATTAAATATAATTAAAATACACTTTAAATGAAGCTAGACGACAAAAATTTATGAAGAAATATAAAAATAATGAAATATGTTAGTTTTCTTTTGGATTGTTTTTCTTTCTTTGCTTAGGTTACTAATACAAAACTCAACAGAAATATCGTTGATATCTCTTACTTTCTCTCTCTCTCTCTTTGCATCTGTCATATATTTTTCATTTTTCTCATGTTTTTCTTTTTCCAATTAGAAGGAGAAAAAAAATTTCATATTTTAAATCTCATATTTTCCTCTATTAGTTAAAAGATAAAAATTGAACGATAAAAACAACATTCAATTAATTACTTCAATAATATCATCGCATATTTATCCGAATGATTTTATTCCATGCATAAATATGTCAAAGAAACAAAAGGAAAATATGTATTTTAGCTAGAATCAACTATCTATATATCAACAGTCAATCATGTTAAATATATTACTATATGTCTTGTTTTCATACAAAAAAACTCAATATCAATCATATTCATCTTGTAACTGGATCAAGAATTAATAGGAGAAAAAGTCATCTATCATATTTAATTATTAGAGCTTATTATTAGTGTTGAAAAAGATAAAATAAAAGCAGTTTAGATAATAATATACAGGTGTAATATAAATTATTATAAGAGGAATAAGTTACATATGCATACACGCACCGTACAGTACTTTCACGGCATATAAAATAAGTTTCGTCTACGTGTCCGCTAGATAACGAAAAACACATGGACAAAACTGAAGCATCGCTATGTTGAATTACTATAGGGTCACAGACGAAAAAGAAAATATATAGATATATTCGTAAAAAATAAACAAAAATAAGAAAAAAAAAAACATAAACTTGCTTGGTTCTGGAGTCGCTAAAAAAAGACATATAGCAGAATTTGTTCTTTTAAAATAAACTTGACATACGCTAAAATATCATTATACTCTATAAATAAATTTTTGTTAAATAAAAGAAAACACATATATGCAATAAGCGTTTGATCAGAGCGAACACTTATAGTTATTAACGAAATTTTTTATTCAATTTTTAAACAAAAGCTTAACTATCAGCAATTGATTTAGCGCAAAGCTTATGGAAAGATCAATACACACATTGGATAAGGATTTGATTGCAATACCTTGTTTGAATAATTGTTTGCTAATAGTTGGACACAATTTATTATTTTTACAGAGAGACATAAAGCAAAAAAGTAGCCACGAGTGCTGAATTTGGGGTTCAGTCCCGTTTTGGCGACACGTCAATTGATTTTCCTATTTCATCGACATTTTATAATGTCGGCGTCTCACTAACATCTTTCATCTTCCCCCTAATGTTGTCGACGAGTCAGGAAAATAATTAATTAATCGACGAATCGGGATGATACCGAATTTGGGGATTTAGAACAAAAGAATATACATGCTCGTTTTCTTCGATATCCTATACATTTAGAAATGGATGATGATACTTTAAATGCTTTTTTTGCTCAAGGAAAAGATGTTCTTCCTCTTCTTATTCCCGGTTGATGTTCTAAATACATAACATCTATTCTGTGGCTATTGAAAGTTTCAGACGTAGTGGAAAAAACAGGCAAAATTAATAATAATTTATCTTCATTAGCTAAGAATCATCTAATTTATATGTTAGCAAAGCAGTTTTCTTTCTGATGTAGAATAATTCAACTACAACAAGAAAATAGGAGAGAAATTAAGCTATATGGAGGAAAAGGAAAGAAGTCGAACTATATCAACAAATATATTTCATTGCCTATAGATTTGTTTGAGAATACAAAATGAAGCAAATTAGTCAACGGACATTTACACAGCAACAATCACAACAACAGTAAACCAACCTGATAAACGTTTCCACTTAATGAATGCTACAAAAACAATTTAAAACATAAATATGATATTACTCAATAAAAAATTATTTGATAAATTACCTTTAGTCCATGGAAGTAATGGTGAACGTTTTTTGTCTTTCTTCTCTTCATCTTTCAGTTTGATCTATTAAAAATGACAATTATAAATTTATTTTCAATTATTTATATTTTAAATGTTTTTTTATCTTACCAGACAATCAATTGTTTTTGATCTTTCTTCATTATCTCCTCTACCACTTGTATGATGATGAGGTAAAGATTTACCTTCCATTTCACTCATGATACAATCTTTATACATGTTTGATTTTAAAAATCTTGTATAACTGTCATATTTCATTAATTGGAATATCTAAAATAGAATAAAAAGCAAGAGAGAAAAATATACAAAAAATATCCATAATTAATAGTTCATTTTACCTGAGATTGAGCTTTTTCAAACATGTTCACATTTGGTGTTTTTAATAATGACTGACACTCTTGTCTTGTTCGACTATCAATATTAATTGGACATGATCCATCGTCGGCATCACTGAGATAAGTAGACCATATAGATCCAGCTTTTTGACGAATCTTTGAACAATAAACAATATACATTTATTTTGTGCAATTATTTTATTTTAACATACCACGTCTAAATCTGACAATTTTTTAAACTTTTCACATTCTATCCAAAATTCAATATTTTCTTGACTAAATTCTTTTTTTAAAAAATCCTAAATATAATAAATAATCATTTTTAATAATATATCTATAGTAAAATATCGAATAATAAACGTACAGTAAATATTGATAGTCCCATATCATCATTTAATAATTTTTCAAATCCAACCGCCCAGCTTGCTACACGACCTACTTCCAATTTTTCTTCATCTTGTTCTTCGCTACATTTATGGACAGACGTTAAACTATTGGAAATCGATAAACGTGTCCCCGATAAATCAGCAGTTTCTTCATCAGTTACGGCCAAGGACTAAAATGAAAATAGATCTTACATAACAAAAAAGTTCATCTAGAATCTTTCATCAATATCAAAGAAAAAACTATGAGAATTACCATCATTACTCTATTTTTTGATTATAACGAACCTTGAGAAAATTATTTACAAATTATAAAACGAATTTCATTTCTATTCTTCGAGTTATGCAGAGACAGTAAGAAAATTCAGATATGTTAATTGAATCAGGTGTTACTACTCAATAGTGGAATCTATTAGGCTATAATATACAAAAAAAATCTGATGTAAGATGGATTGTATGGAACTGTCTACTACTAAACTGATTTTAGTACGAGTTTACACTTTTCGTACCTTCGATTCGCAATAGTAATATAATCATCTTTTAAAACTTATTTATGTAAAAGATTTGAAGAAACTTGTCTTCATCTTATTCCCTTGTTTTTGCAGATCTTTGATTGAATTTCGCCAAACATCATTCAAGTGCAATAGTGACCAAGACTAGATTTGACTGAATTTTACGCATGCACATGATGAGTTGATTATTGTTTGATATTAATTCGATATCAACTTTTATCTTTCCGATATCAGAAACTATCGATAGTTTTCCCGAAATTTGCGTTTTTTTCTGATCACGAAGCTTAGATCTACTCTATTTTATCACAAGTGTAACTATCAAGAAAGTTCCTGATATATTCTTATAGAAATGAGAGTGAGATTTATTACAGTATGTTTCATAAATCGAGCTTTTAGTTTTTCTTTCAGGATAATTTACAAATGACTACTGTGAAAAATTGCAATGACATTTTCGGTACAGAATTACATTAGAGATGTGAAAAGAAGATTAACAAGTGATACATTATTCAATTCGATTGCATACATATATTTCAAAACTAATAATAAAATTCAATCGTTTAAAAACTTGCAAAAAGTAAAGAGAATCGTCTTTTTTCAACAGTATACAATTTGAATGTGATTTATTACTATATAAAACTTTTTTTCCAAAAATCAAGTCGACTCTTGGAATTAGATAAAAATTACATTTTTTTTTCAGGTATTTCTCCTTATCATACATCTAATTTTGATTTACGTTTTTCTCAGTAGAGAAAAAAGGTTTTGACTACTTGTGAAACAATTCATAGTGCTTGACATCGGATAGACAGTTTAGATTGAAATATTACGGGGTTATAATCAACTAATCATGCGCTATAACTTATGTAAAAGTCATTCAGATCAGAGTTTAAGCACTGTCGCATATTGTATGATGCATGAAAAAACTCAATCTAAATATTTAAAATAAGATATTTAATCAGACAAAACTTATACAAAATATAACAAGAAACATCTTTTGTTTTTATACACTTCAAAATCACAGATGATTTTTTGCCTTTAAGCAATTTTTCTAGTTGACATAACTGTCAAAGAAAAATTGTATTCAGTTTTTCTTCTTTTTTTTTTTTTTTTCTAAAAAACACAGACATATAGAAAAGTATTCACGTAATAATAATAATAATAATAACAAGACAACAAGATCAACTACTTTGTAGGAGGATAATTATGTCTATAGAATCTGTCGTATTTTTTAAACTATATTTCATGTCCTTCACTTTCCCTCTTATACTTCGTTTAAAATAATAACAACTATGTCCATATCATCAAACTCATAAATCATAAATTAGAAATAACAAAAAAAAAAAAAAAAAAAAAAAAAAAAAAATAAACCAAAAAAATAAAAAATTAAAAAACAAGTATCCCTCGACTATTAACTATTCTCAAAACAGTCAAGAGAGAAAGTTTTGATAGAAAAGAGCTATCATCATTTATAATATTTTGCTAAACATATGTCATGAGTTCTAATAATGAAATAATTGATCTTATGACTTTTTTTTTCTTTATAAATGCGAACTGTTGATGAGGGTCAAAGACCTTGGGTACAAAGTTTATAAACAGTTTTAATTCGAGCAGAAAAAAAAATGATATTATTGACCGATTACATACCATTTTTTTTGCTCTGACAGTCTTACAATAGAAGAGTAGAAGTCGAAGAAATTGTTGGCAATATCAAAAGTTTAAAACAAAAATAAAAAGAAGAAGAAGAAGAAGATTATTCATACCTTTGCTTTAATGAATTTTTTTATCGGTCTAAATGTTGTCATGATCAACATTGACCTGTTTGTTTAATTATTATCTATTGTTTGACTATCATAAATATAGAACATAAGTTTTTGTTAAATAAAAAAATCATAAAAATAAAAATTGATTATTAATATTTTCTAATTATTACTGATATAGAAATTTTAAAAAGAAAAATAGAAAAAGTGGAAATTTGAACAATATTTAACATATCCGTTTGAGAAAAAAATTTTCAATTTTTATTAACTATATCAATTTCCAATAAAAGAAACGTAGGATGAATTATATATATATATATATATATAATATGTATAGGAAAAATGAAAAGAATCTCTTCTTTATTTTCTACTGACAAAAATCTATGTTAAGGCTATTAGATATAAAAGAGATTTGCTATTTGAATGTCATCAACTCGTTTTTCTTTTTTACATGTGTTGATGGGCATCTGCAAATCATACAAAAAAGAGCGAAGAAAACACTTTGTTTCCTGTTTGTCAATGGATGAAAAAAAAGAAGAGAAAGAATCTCATTTTTCTTTTTTTTTATAACTTCAAATAAATACACACCTTGTGGTGTTACTGCTGCTGAGAGAAGATAATGATGCAACAGCAAACGATCACTATAATTTTATTATACCATAGGAAAATAAATAATAGAGAGAGAGAGAGAAAGAGAAAAATTCAAAATTTAAAACAAACACAAAATAAAAGAAAATTTTTTCAGAGGTAACGTATTCAGATGAAAATTAGAGTATATCAAAATTCAGTTTTCTCATTTTGAATAATAATAATAGATTATAAATCAATAGAGAAAAAAAAATGTTATACTCAAATGTGTTGGCTGTAACTTCCTGTATTATTAATGCCATGATAAAAATAGGGAACAACAGAAAACTATGGGTATCTACTTTGAAAGAATATTAAGATAAAATAGCATTAGACTGAAACGTGAGAAACATCCTATGAATAATAAAGTATCCTTTTTTTTTTTTTTTTTTTTTTGGGGGGGTTTTTTTTTAATAAAATTAAATTGTACTATTTAATACGATTTTTGTCATATATATATACAAAAACGTTGTAATATGGCAATGTCTTGTCGGAGGGGGGAAGAGTCTCATTTCAATATTTTTTTTTTTTTCTGTACAAGATATACTAAATAAAAAATAAATTAGAGTTTATTCTAAAGTCTGTCAGCTCATTTTAAGAACCCACAATCATAATAATAGAGTAGGGAATAAGCTCTTACCACTATAATTAAGAATAAGATTTATTTTTATAGTAGAAAAAGTCTTAGCAAATATTTTGTTTTTTATGAATCGTCAAAACATGTATAAAAATTAATTTTTCACACTCGAATGAGAAAAAATTTTCCTCAAAAATATACAAATGAAATTCAAATGGCAAATACTTTTATTTCAAAAAATGTTTCTAATTCTGACAATTTTTTTTGTTTTCAAGATTAAAGAATATAAGTGATTTTTTTTGTCAACAATTTAGACAGATACTATTACGGAAAGTAGCATTTTTCTAGTAATGCATTTTTCTTAACTATTGCTTAGTAATATACGATGTGGTTCACTATCTAAATTTTATTTTTATCATTCCCTCCCTATTAGAAGGATTCAAGGACTTTTCTAAAGATTTCTTTCATGTAGATCACGTGTGCTCAATTATAAGTTTATCAAGTATATTACAAAAACTATTAGAGTCTCTTTCTGTACATTTTTTGTTTCTCGATACTTTTTGTCCAATGTTATAGATAAGACAAACAATTTTTATTTTTTTTCTCTCTCATCGTCGTATAAATCTCTTGAGATTGACATATTTTCTATATTTCTTTGTCCAAAAGAACAACACAATATAGACAGAATAGTAAATTATTTTCTTCTCATTTTTCTTTTTTTAGATTTTTTTATTCTTGTTACAGAGTAAATTGTCAATAATTATTACTGTATGAAAAATGGTACTTTAAAGAGAAGAGAAGAAAATAAGTAATGAAAATAACAGAGAAAACGTTTACAATGGGCAGACACATTTTATCACTTTGTCAGATAATAGCACTGACTGTTTTCGTACGAAATACAATCTGTTCTATAATTCTTACTTTAAAACTTATTTTCTGACTCATATTAGAGTTTTGTATAAAAGAATATTTGTTACTCAATATAAAAGTTATCAAAGAAATATGTATATAGTCTTTGTAGAAAAGAAAAAAAATTCTCCTTTAATATAATGAAATTGGATAGTGTAATGACTGACTACTCTGGTGTTATTTTAATCTAAAACTTTTTTTTTTTTTGTATTTTTATTAAACGATTGTAAAATGTGAACAAAAGAAATTTTGATACTTTCCTACCACTTGTCGTCAGACATCGTTAAGTAGTAGTAGTAGTAGTAGTAGTAGTAGTAGTGGTAGATGTCTATTCAATATAAGTTATCTTTTTTTATCATTCTAAAACTGAATCAAGTAAAATAGAAATTTTCAAATTGTTCATACATTTTCATCATAGATTTGTGGATAGAACTTTTAACCATCGATCTTCTATTTTGTTCTATGACATGACAAACTACAAATAAAAATGAACATCATAATACGATGAATAATTGATCTGTACTAACTATGAATTATCACAGTGGGACTTATTGAATCCATTTAGTTTATCAACTATTTATACAAACATTTATCTTTTCAATAGTACCCGTCCAAAAAAACGTCATTTTTTTACAATCAATAGATATTATAGATAACATGATGATGAAATGTTCAACTATTCTACTATATCGAGCTGATGATAGTTATATTCTTTGAGTTTGCTGACATTAGAACTCATCAGTATTAACGTACTTGAAAGACAATGTGTATGTGGTAATAGAACTTGAAAAAGAGATGAAGAAACAAATGAAATGATATAACTATTTAGGAAATATTTTGAAGCATCAACATTTATTAATATCTATTAACACTGCTAAATGATGTCTTTAATACTAGAAGAACAATATCTTTACTATCTGAACTTATGAAATATTTGAAAAAAATAAAAATAAAAATAATTATGCTGTTTTATGACCCATAGAATAGTTTTATTTTCAAAAATAAAATTATAAATAGACTGGTCGATTATCCAAAAGACTGATTGCTACAACTGATAAAAATTATATACGTTTCTTAATGCATAACACACTCCATAAAAAAAAATGTGTAAAACTTTGTAAAAATCTATGCACTGTAAAAGAGAAAGATGTCCGGAATCTACAGTCTAGTTCCTTGCTGTGCTTCAATTTTCTTTATAATAAAACTATTTCTCACTCCCACTATCACTAATCATTTATTAACCCGTAAGGATACGCACATTGTATTTATTTTGCGCGGGATATTTTTAATCTGTAAGCTAAATTATCTCTAGATAATTTTTATTCCAACGTCAAGTTAATCTCTTATTTTTATTATTACTTGTACATACCAGAGTATGAACAGATAATTTATAATCATTAACACTTGATTGTCGTCGAAAATCATTTAAAAAATTTCGAAATCGTCTATCTGGTGGAGCATTTCGCATTTGAACAATTCAAATAAGTAAGCGCGTTGTTGTTCATCAACACTCTATATTGACTATGCACTTCGATCCATTGATGATGATTATTATTTTATTATTTTTCTATTTTGTTATTGTTTAGAAACAAAAAAACAACTTTGTGTCTTAGTTGTTCTTTCTCTTTCTCTCTCTCTTGTTTGTAATATTATTATTAAGTGAGATAGATAGAAAAACAAGAGGAGCAAGACAGGGAGAAGAAGTTATTCTGTTGCTTTTAGCACCATATAGTTTTTTTGTTTAAGGGTGAGAAAAAAGAAAAGAAGAGAAGAAGATGAGCATATACAGTACGTGTGTGACATTCCACATTTCAATTTTTTAAAACATCGATGTTTAATTCAATCCTAAAAAGCTTTTTGATACTACTAACACTAGCATAACCGGAACATGATTTTATTTTTCTATCCCGAGGATCTTTTCTTCTTCTTCTTTTCATCATTCATAATCGAAATACAAATGTATTCAAGGCTAGTCTTCTTCTTTTTTTTATTTTTTTTTTTATTATTTTTATTTTGTTTTGTTCGTTACACATCAGCAGACGAAATGTAAATGGAATGGAATACATCATTGGTCAAATAGGAATAATTAATAATCAAATCGAATAAAAGAATATTATTTTAGAATTAAATATCAACTATTATAAGTTTCTATCTTTATTTTAAAATCAAATATCTTTTCACGCTTAATTTTAGTCATGTTTAGTGTCAAATTGTCTTCAGTGGAAAACAGACTGATGATATATGTTATTTTTTATAATTTTATAAAAAAAAAATGTATACACACATACTTTTTGATTCTTAAAGTAGCGTAGTAGTCAATCTAACACGAGTTCAATAGATGACACGAGTAAATTGTAAAACACGAAGAAATATCCAAAATTGGTAAAAGACATTGAACAGTCATTAATTTGATTTAAAAATCACGAGTGATGAGTCTAATTTATTAAAAGTTTCATTATTATATATTCACATAGATATCTTTAACAAATGCCAAACCTACTTTTGTCTACATAATCTTTTGTGCGTTCTTCCATTATATATGTGTTTCATACAGAGAAAAAAATATAGCAAACTCTTTATTCATATTTCAGAACGAATATCTTTTACTGAAAGAAAATATTTCTAAGAAATTTAAAAAGAAAAAGCTTATTCAGGATACTTGATGACATATATTTTTTGTATATTTTATTTTCAAACAATTCATTCAGATTGATTTAATAATCCAGAAATGTTCAAACGATCGTACATAAGTTCAGTCAAATAGTGAAAAATAATAGGACCCAAGAAACATGCTTCGCGAAGAAGGATTCTCAAATTTCACTTCGATTTTCTTCTAAAATCTAGTTGATTATGGATAATTTTTTATCTCGAACATGAAATTGATACCCATTTGTATCCATACAGCTTTGTAGAATCTTTGTTCAAATTCAGAATCCTAAAAACATATTACAAACTTTCTTCTGAACAAATTTGGATAGTGCCAGATTATAGAAGATATCAAGTTATCGATGTGCACAAGTTATTGGAAATAACAAACACGTTTTTACCGAGTTATGGGCATCTCAGTTTTTAACGAGTCCAAATATTATATCAAGTTACTTATATGCATAGTGAACAAGTTTCTGAAAATCTATCATTGTTTTATCGGAAAAAATACCCTAATCACATTTATTTTGGTTAGTTAAAAACTGAGATGTCCATACCTCGGTAAAAACGTGTTTGTCATTTCCAATAACTTGTGCACATCGATAATTTGATATCTTCTATAATCTGGCTCTATCCAAATTTGTTCAGAAGAAAGTTTGTAATATGTTTTTAGGGTTCTGAATTTGAACAAAGATTCTACAAAGCTGTATGGATACAAATGGGTATCAATTTCATGTTCGAGATAAAAAATTATCCATAATCAACTAGATTTTAGAAGGACTTAGATTTGGAAGAACTTTTATCTTGAATGGAAAAACTTGAGCAAGTAAAATTTAGGTATCCTGGGAGAATGTTTTATTGTTGATTTAAAACAACAAATTTAATGTGTTAAAAGAACAACTCTACATAAAGTACTTATAGGTCAAATTGCTCCATGTATCAAAGAGAAACAAGTACAAGTGAAGTAACTAATATTATTGTATGTTATTAGTCTATGAAAAAGAGAAAAGAAAACAACTATTAGATGTCGATGTTTCTTCCTCATCCGCAATCGTCATAGAGAGAGAACATCAGATAATGTCGATAAGCATCATTATAAGAAAACAAAAATTTCTTGTTCTCACAATATGTACAGATAATATTGTCAAATTATCTGTTTTACATAGTGCTAAACAGCGCACAAACTATCTTCAACAACTCTATTCTTTATCCAAAAAAATAGATGTCGGTAGTTTTCAATACGAACCTATTTATATATGATGAGATATACTCAAAGTCAATACAACAATATTACAAGCGGATAACAGAGGCTAGGACAGAGATGAGTGAAAAAATTATTCGTCCACCTCTATTCTTGATTCTTTTCTTTGAGTGTGATAGTTAAAAATTCAGATAACTAATTTTGGCAGTCGAAAGCGTTTCCTGTTTAGAAGGGGGAATACACAAGTGTCATCAGAATGCTGGAAACCGGATTAAAGATGTGCACGGGTTTGCACTAAAACCTTTCGGACTTCGAGTAAATTTTAAAAGAACGGAATCCGTACCCGTAACTGTTCTATCCAAACCCGACCCTACCCGACAACTTCGCACCCACATCCAACCTTCGGATCGAGTACGAGTCGGGTTGCACATCTCTAAACCGGATCTTTGGAAAATTCCCACACTAAAAAGTCATATCAAACTGTATTGAATTTACGAATGGCTCTCACAGTTCTTTTTGCTAGTTTTTACCTTCCAGAGATCCGATTTCCAGCTTTCTCATGACAATTTTATCCTTCCCTTCTGACAGGAAACTCTTCTGGCTGTCCAAATTACTTATCTGTTTTTTGGTTCCAAGTTTTGCGACTCTGTAAAAAGCAGGGCTCCGTATGGTCCGGTCCAGGATCAAGTTGGACCGAACCGTAATCCATCTGGTCCGACTGGGTCCGAGTTTTTAAAAAGTTTAATGGTCGAACTGGTTCCAATCCCAAAATTAGCGATCCGAACTGGTCTCAGTTGGAAAATTTTTTAGAGATCTCTTTGTTTCTTTATCTATCGACTAGATAAGCGTTGTTGAACGTTTAATTAAGGAACAGTTAGTTTTCAGGTTTGATAAAAAATTGAAATTAAACAGTTTTGTGTTACACAATAGAAATGGATCTTCAAAAAGGAGGAAAATCTTTCCTGGTCCGTAGTGGTCCGAAAAATTTACGGTCCGGAGTGATCATGGTCCCAAAACGTTATGGTCCAGTTCCAAAAACTGGGATTAGACCGGACCATACGGAACTCTGATAAAAACTTGATATACCTAAAATTTCTCTCATGAGGAATCGATGTAGTCTACAATCTGATTTTATCAGAATCTCTTCATCTGGTTCTCTAGAAATCTTGTTTGATATGGGAAAAAAAGCAGCATAAATGATAATCCTAAAAATATGTGTATTTATTAAATCGGAGTCGATTACCAGAGAATGTTCTCCTGTGAATAATAAAACTTTCTACTACAATGCCAAAAGAAGTTGATCACAAGTTTTTCTCATATAACAAGAAGGTCTACTCTTCTTGATCAAAATCGTTATGAATATATATGTATGTTACCTGTGCTCTGGTAGCACGACGCAGTCCATTCAATTTTTGTGCATAATCACGTTGTACAGTCAATAATCTTGGAGTTAAAAATTGTATTTTACTACGAATCATAATAATAAAACTAATTCAAAGTCAAATATAGAAAATTTGACTGATTTTTGAAAATAAACTCTAAGTTGGATGTCATTTATTTCTAGAAATCACTTTTTTTTTTGCTTTTTTTTTTTCTCTCTTTTTTTTTTGTTGTATACTTTTATTAATGCTTCACGATCTCTCACACTCTTTTTGTTAAGTTCGCTTCTAAACAAAATTCACATAATGTCTATATAATCATCTAATAAGATCATTCCAATAGTTTCTGAAGAAGTAAAAAATACAAAAATATCAAAACATCATATATCTTATCGATGATGATGAAAAAAGACTATATTGTATGATTTGTTTGTTGTTCATTATTAAACAAAGAGAAGAAAGAAGACGAGACAGAAAAAAATGATTAAATAAGTTTCTATTCTTCTTTTCAAACATCATCAGGACATTCACACGAGTTATTATTACTTTGATCTTACGATCATCATCAACAACTACAAGAATTTTACAAAGAGGAGCTATCAATCTTTTCAGTGTTTTTTTTTTTTTTCTGTTATGAGTTTCTTAGAAGAGAGTCTATTACATGCACATCAAGATCCCTTTTTTTTTTTTTACAAAAAAAAAATATCTATATACGTGGCTAATGAAGCACAATGGTAATTAAAAAAAGACACAAGAAATGTAGGTAGTTATATATACTGACAATAAAGGAGTTTTGAATTAATGTGTAAAGCAAAAGGAAAAAGTATTTTCTATGAAAACAAGCGTTACATTTAATAAATTTCTGGTTAATTAGAAACAATAATCAACTGTATATAAACTAGTATACATATCTTATTAGAAATAAACAAGATAATAAAGTAAAAAAAAAGATAATATCGTTTCAAATAAACATAAGAAAATCTTAAGGCGTTCGACGTGGATTACTGATTAAAAAAAAAAAAAAATCTATTTTGGATAAATTAGAAAGAATTTATATAAGACAACCAGATTAGCTTCGTTTATCTATCTTCTTTATAGTTTTTGCCAAAACTATCTATTTCATCTCGAATTATTAATATCTTTGAAAAAAAAAAAAAAAAAAAAAAAAAAGTTTTTCACGCGGATGTTTTTAATTGTGTGTTTGTTGCCGGCGGGAGTTGAGAAAAAAAAACAAACGTATATGTGTATATCTGCTAATAGATCTTTCCAAGTTAATGCAAACATGAACTGCTTTATGTTTTTATTCTTTTTTCTCTTCTTTAGTATTATACATCAGACTGAGCGTTAATATGAAGAAAAAACATTTTTTTTTTTTTCGTGTTATATTTTTTGTTTAAAGTCATTATATTACGAAGATTTGATTTTTCTTAATTAATAGACACAAATATTGCGATACTATATTTCTTACTTGATACCTGTCTAATATAATATAACATACAATCGGAATAAAAAATCTTTTGTTTTCTAGATAAAAAAAAGAAAATGAGACTCTATATTAAAATAAATGTGTATAAAACAGTAAAAAAAAAAACATTATCCTTTAGGAAAATGTCACTTTTTCCTTCTTCTTCTTCTAGTAATTGTGTTCATTCGTAATATGATCGTTGACATAAATATTTAAAAATTCTACTTTAAATTACTGTAATATTGAAATGAAAACATATACATGATGATATAGAGAAGATAATGTTCAATCATTGAAGAACAAATTAATTTCAATTTTTTTTTCTCGACACTCACACACATATCAAATAAATGTATTAGAAATTAGAGTAAAACGTTTTTTTTTATTTTTATTTTTTTGTCATAGGACAAATCAGTAAAACAATTAAAAATATTTTAGAATAATTTCCGGACTAAATATAAATAGTTAATTTATTCTATAATATTAATAAAAACTAAACTAGATCAAATCAAATGATGAAAAAAAAACGAGAAGAAAAAAAATAAATAAACAAATAAACAAATCTTTTTTAGTAACAAAATATTTTTAAGTCGACAAATAAAATCTATTATATCATATTTGAATTTTATATTTTATATAAGAAAATAATAGTTTTTATTGTTACTTACCTGACTTGGTAATGGACTATAACATGATGAACGACGTTCAACTTTATTATAATCCTGAAGAAATTCACCTAATGTTCTTGACCAGGGTGTATCATGCCACATAGTTAATAATATATTTTTAAAAAACAAATTTTTTTATTTTTTTTTTGCTAATAGTTATATGCGAAAGACTACTGTTTTTTTTTTTTGTATATTCTATCTGAATTGGAAGACTTTAAAAAAAACTTTTTATTTTTTATTTTTCTTAGGAGAACACAATATTCATTAAGGCAAGCAATCATTTGGAAAAGAATATATACGCTGTAAAGTCATCATTTTTTTCTTTTATCATCCTAATAGGAGACTATAAAATAAAAAAATGAGTATGCGTCTTCAAACTATATTAACAACGTTATTTTAAAAAATAATCATAATTCGTATGTCTAGTGAAGCGAATGTTAAAAAAAAAAGGAGAAAAACTTCTTCTTTTTTTTTTTTTTATTTTTTTTATTACATACTATGATTGATTCTAATCTTATATTGCAAAAAACACGTCTTGGGGTTTTCGGGAAGAGCTAAAATTAGAGCGCGATAGTAAAGATGTATATGCAAATTAATTCTCGCGCTAGTTTAAGAAGAGGGAGAGAAGAAAAATAAAAAACCGTTTGACGGATGTCAAAAACAAAGAAATGTAATGAGCTCTTATTTGATTAGGTATAGACGTTCATAAAATAAATTATACTTGATCGGAAAATTTTTCTGTTTATTTAATTTACTACATATATGGGAAGATTTTATTTAAAAACAATTTGAAAACAATGTAAGTATCCTAATATTGATAGTGAGAAGAAGGCGTCTCATCTTCAAATGCGACTACTTTTAAACGGTATTTCAAACAAGTTCATGAAAATAAATAATAATAAAATAATAATAATAATAATAACTTTCATTGTTTAAACTATTGAGATTTTGTGTGTGTGTGTGTTTTAACTAAGGATATGATTTTAGTCTTTTTTGTACTCATCATTGGAATATTTGTTAAGATAAAAAACAAAAAGAAAAGATTAAAATTTTATACTTTTTAACACTGAGTAGGAGAAAAACTCAATAGGGAATATTTTAGTTCTTTTTTACTCAACACCATTAAAGATGTTCGATAATTTCTTAGTTTGAGCTGAAAATTTTATCAGAGATACTTAAGGCACATTTCGAAGGTGAATAATTTTTCTTTTTGTTAGTTTCCGTTTATCACTTTTCTTTTTTTTTTTAGAATTATAAAGTTTTTAAAATTGAAAAAATTAGTTTTTAATAGAGTTTTAAGTATTTTTGATGGAACTCGACGAAGAGAGATGAGAAAAAGGAAAAAAATATGACATACTTTTGTCGCGTATATGTGATAAAAATTACAAATCGATTGGATGAAGTTGTTGAAAAGTTTTAATGATGCAAAATGAAGACCACTAGCGTTTTTAGTAAATTATGTGGTACTATTGATGATACTGCTTTTCAGGAATTTTACAAAACAAACTCTGTGATTCGTGAAAGAAACATCAGAAAATGTTGAAAGGAGTCTCATTTTTAAGAAAACATTTTGGTCTACTAGACTCACTTATAAAAAAGAATTTTCTAAATGTTGAAAGCAAATGAAGATTTAGATTTTTTTTAAGAAAATCTTTTTTAGTGAAAAGATCGTTGAAAAGGAGGGATGGTCTCATTTTGTAGTGTATACTCGACTTTATATTCAATACACATCTGTCGCAAATTTTAAACCTTTAGTAAAGTTGAAGTGATGTACTTTTAAGCCATATGACTGCTATAATCGATTTTTCGCGTTTCTATCATTCATAGTCAAAAATACAATCGATGAAACAGAAGAACAATGTCGTGGAAAATATTGAAAAACATTCTTCACCCCATAAAATTTTGTCCAAGTTTCACGACGTTGGAATCATGCACTTGCAACATCAAATGCGTGGTCACGTGCGAACTTTCTTATAATTTCACACGTGTTCACAAGCGAGAATTTCTTTTCACGCGTGCCACACATCATTTTACCCGTCCACGTGCGACCATAATTCATTTCATGATATTCACGAGTGTACACGCCGTTTTATATACTAAAATTTCCTCATGGGTAGTTTAGAGAACTGATTTTACGTATAGAAAGAACCTCGGGCTTATGCAGTGCAATTTTTCAAAAAAAAAATCTTAATTAAAAAAGAAATCAAATTATGAAAAGTGTATTATCAAACCTAAAGAATCTTTAAAGTATAAGGTCATATTAGAAGATCTTACAAGTTTCCAAAAGAATCACCATTCAAATATTTTTTTAAGATTTCACAAAATATTTCAAAATTTTGTGATAAGAACTTGTGTGAGATTGCAAATAATTCACAAGCCCACACAGGAATACATAAGATCTTATGAGAAATTTCTCTGAACATTCAAGCTGATATGTGCACTTTTTACTATCACTCTTTTTAGTTTTTTAATATTTTCTAGCTTAGGTAAGAATAGGGAGTCTTAAGGACCGTGATGATCGTGTTCTATACACTCACACACTGACGTTGGCTCAGCTGATGTATGAAGTTGAAGAGTAAGAAAACTTTACAGTTTAATCATCAGAACGACGTTGTGTACATGTACTATATATCATAGAAAAATTTCTATTGTATCTTCTAAGATACACATATGTACGATCTCATATGTTCTTGTGCAATATTATAAGATCTTTTGTCAAGAAATTTAATATGATACACCAATGACTGCTGCAAGATTCCACAGGAACATACAACTTCTTATCGTATGATCCTTCAAGATCCTGTTCATTCTTACACGTTGCACTCTAAAAAAATCAGACTTGTCTTTTCTGTTATATATAACAGACAAGAAAAGTCTGATTTTTTTTTCACACTAAAAAATAATGTGTCGCATGTGTCGAAAATTGCGACATACTCATCTGCGACATCGGGAGCCACTTGCGACATATTTTTTCCATTGAGGCTGCCACACATTCCGTTGAGTATTTCTACTATAAAGAAAACAGTGGAAATTAGGTATTTTTGATCACTTATTCGATTTTAAGAATATTTTTAGTTCGTTTTGGGTGCACTACGTAATGTTGACGAGCTCAAACCGCCCGTAATATTCACAGGCCTTCAAAATATTCAGTTTCCCAGATCTGAGGTTAATAGCGTAGTCAAGGCCTCGGATTGGTTGGTTTCCGCAAAGAGAAATGTTTAACATAGAAAAAAGGTTAAAAAAAACTTAGGTTAATTAAACTTTAGCCACGAATAACATCAATGCAAAATTGAAAGAACTTCAAAAGTCCAAAAATTTTCTTATCTTTTACGTATTAGCGCCACCTATAGCTCACCCACTCAATCAAAATTGAAGAGAAGCCAAGAAAAATCCTAATGAAGACTATTAAAAATAGTAAAACATAAAACTTAGCAAGTTTTTTAACAGACTAGGTCCTCAAATGGCCTCAAGAACTGTGTCTAAAAGCTCTTAGAAACGGTGACACAAACATGCGGCACATTCTTTTGCGACACAATTTTCTCACAGGAGCTGCGTCAAACGTTCATCTGTCTTACTTCTGTCATTGACGGAGGAGGGATTAACCTTATTTGTTCTACATACAGTTATGTATTAAGAATAGAACTCAAAAGGCTTTGAACTTTTATTTCAATTTCTTTTACATCAGTCTATAAACGCTACATGAACAGACGCTACTTCGATAGTGTCATTAGGTCTGCCAACTTAGAGGATTAAGAAACCAAAAGATCTTTTGTAAAAAATACAAGGAAAACAGTTACAGTTTAATTTTTTAAAAAATATTTCCTGCTCGTTGCTTTCGAAAAAATTTTCGATTTTGAATTGAACATAGTCTAATGTAAATGGAAGTCTTGCCTACAAAATAAGACTACTTCTAGTATTTCACGGCTTTTTTGAAGAAAGCTATGAGTTTTTTAAGTTTTTGATCAAGAGGCTGAAAAAATTAATCTTTTTAGTTTCCTAAAGTTTTCTTTCCTTTCCAGTGTCTTCAAAACGGAACTGAACTGAATTTTTATTTTTGCAAGCATGGTTGTTGCAAAGAAAGGCTAGCTTATGCTAATGCAACATTGAAAATAGTGAAGAAATAAAGAAATTTAAGAAAAGCATTTCTTGTACATAGTTTAATAGAGCAAAGCGTTCTCGCCACAATGAAACGTCTTCCAAAATTTTACAATCGTTTTTCGCGGTGATATAAGCATCGCTGCAAATGTTCTGAAAAAACTGTCCTGTGTAATGTTACGTGCAATGCTCAAAAAGTGAAAAGTACTTAGACTATAACGATCATTTCCTATGCAACATGTTATGAGTCGCTACTGCCTGTGTTTGTTTTAAACAAATTCTTTGTAAACTAGCTCCACAGCATGATTGAGTAATTTGCAAGTTTCTCGTTGATAGTCTCAATCGTGTAAATTACAACTCAGGCCCTAGATAGCTGTGATAAAATTTTGTACTTGATCGAATGAAGTTTTTGGAGGATCATATTGTACTGCAATGAGAAGCTAAGTTTTCCAGAAAGTCCATGAAAGATCATGCCAGAAAATCCTAGGCAAAAATACATCGACTTTCTTTTTCGATGTTCTATCTCTGCTATAAACTTGAGTTCAATCTGATCTTTGCCCAAAAGTGGAAAAGACACAGTATGGTCCAGTCGGACATTTAGCGAACAAAATCGAAGTGCTCTGTTTTTCGATCTAAGTATTGAAAACTAGACTTTAAGATATGGGCCATATATTTCCAAAAGAATTTTTGTTCTGGATCATGAGAAAATACTTAGACAAAAATCAGTCTGAAAATACATTAGGGTGCGGTAAAATAAGTTTTTCATTAAAGCCTACCAAATCCAAAACACATAACGCCATAGATTATGAATCTAGGCTCTTTTTTGGCTAAACTAACGAAAAAAGTTGGGTGTCGCGACACATTAACGCCCCCAAATTGCCTGAGACCATGCTAGATTAATAGAGCGTACCAGATAACCCTACACGAACATCCACTTGAATCTAAATCTGAGGCATCCGGAATGGAATACTACCACTAACACCCAAATGGACGGGTATTTGTACTCT